AAGAACAGGGCAGTGATCAACCATCCACACTTGGCGTGCTCCTTTTGAGCTTGGCAGGGCCCTCTGTCTGCCTAGTGGAAATGGATCTTCTGGCTGAGACGTTGTTTTGAATCAACCTTGAACACTAACTTTTTGTACAGTGTTTGGTCGCAAGGACGGCCGCGTTAAACAGCTTGTGTTCTGTACAGAGGTTTGAGTGAAGGTCTATATACCCTTGCACACTTGTATTGCATGGAAGACCTAGGCCAACGGACGTCACAGAACAACAGGAAGGGCGGCGAGTTGCCAGCATGGGGCGTTCTTGTGGGTCTAATGCCGGAGGGACCCTGCATCCCAGGAAGCAATCCATGGCCATGGTGAGGTTTGGGGTACACCGCGGCAACCGAACCTGGCAATGAAGCAATTAAACAGTGGTGTTTTATTTCACAGATTACTTCCCGTTTGTCAACAAAAACAGGGTCATTCTTTCTCAGCTCTTGACAAATGGCTGGTGGGTAAAATGAAACTGGCCATCAAATTGGGGGGTACCATGCGCAGCATGGCTCAAAAAGGGGTCACAAGGTCACAATGCACTCAGAGATGGACAGCACATTTCTCGTCAACCAACCCACTTTTGGGTAGCAAACACACATTTTCTTGTTCAAAATGCTTCAAATCACGTGAACAATTCCCTTCGCAACGGAGCTTTCAGTGGTTTTTTTTCGCCTCCAAGTCGGACAGAAGGACATATTTTTCGGGTTGAACCAATGGATTTTTGCACCAGGCTGATGACTTGGCGCTGGTGCTCCAATCGCTGAGGATGGGGTTTATATACTGTTGCTGTTGCTTGGATGTGTTTGTTTGTTATGGCTTGGAGTTATGGGTACTGGGGTTAGTACTACAGTAGATGGGAGGTCTTTGGAGGACGTTGGATGACAAAGGCTATCGGTATCTATCTGGATCCCTCTGGAGATTTGCGTGCATGCAACATGCCTTTGGGCTTGGGCTGACGTTTTGGAAAGAGCCTCTGGAGTCATCACCTTTGAACATCCTGGTTCCACATTGGTGCAGCTTTCTGTGGCTCCCACGTTGGGGGGGTTAGGGTTCACGCGGGGCGTTTGAACCGTGGACCTCCCCATGCGCAGTTCCTTGGAACAATCATGGATGGTCATTGGAATCTGAACCTTCCATGTTAACACAATATTCCCATCGCGAGTCGAGTGATATACCAGTTAATGCCAATATACATCAATATACCACCATAGACCCTTCATCCCAGCGATTCGGGATTCACATTTGAATATCTAAATATTCCAAGAAACTTATTGAAATATCGAGTACTGGGTCCTTCCCCACTGCGCATGTTCTCGTACTCCGAGGTGCCTCCACACAATGTCCTCAACTCGGTGAAGCATGATATCACAACCCTTGGACCATCTTGGACCTGCACATTTTGGATGGGGTGGTCGTATTATATATGGCATATATATATATATGTCATATATATGGCAATGTGGGCCTCTTTACCATGCAATTTTTGGGAGCAGGTACACACTTCAGGATGTGTTTGTGCCTCAGGTCCTTTGCTGCGAGCTTGACGAAGATTGTGGCGGAAAAAAGGCCCGGCAAGGGCTATCCCTTGCCCCATAGTATCCCATCATCCCATACTAGCTCCATACGTGCATGGGATGTGCATGGGGATGTGTCAAAAGCAACTCTACCATCTGTTGCGGGGGTGAACATCCATGAACAACAGCTATTTTGATGCCACGGTACCAGGGTTTCGACCCATACAGTAGTCATATGACAACTTTCGCTGAGTGATGCCTTTCATAGCTTTCAGCATCCGCAGGGAAGAGCAGAAGGCCAGAGAGAAACTGGCTGCCAAGTGGAAGGTGGGAGCAAGCACCGTTCAGTGGCTGGAGGCAGTATAACCACCATTGGGTGCGGGTATAACTTGATGTAATGTAACCATACGTAACCTGTAAATATATAATCAATAATAAGCTATTGTAGTTGCTGGTTCGATATACTTCTTATATTCCATGCACTTAGCATGATTATCCGAATTGACTAAGAATTATATAGTGACGACTAATATCTATGCTGGACCCTCCTAGGCGCTTGTTTTCCACAAGAATATGGCACCCCAATTTCCAATATGAATGATAATCCTCTTCTTCTTTAAATGGCCATTTGGGATCATTTGGGGATTTTTTTAATGATATACCATGGTATGCCCTATTTTCAGACACACATATATATATATAACATGTTCTTTGTTCTTTCGGCCTGAAGATGCTAGAACTTGTCCATTTTTCTGTTGCATGGCAACATCTTCTCGTCCAGCACGACCTGAGATGATCTGGTTTAGGACCGGTTACACAACATTGCGAGGATTGCTTAACATGGGGGGATCCCAAAAACATGGGTTTCAATGCTAATTTTGGATGATTTGGGGTACCTCCTTTTCAGGAAACCTCCATATAATTCATAGATATTCATAGAATTCTCCAGGATTCATATGGGTTCATGTCCATGTCATGACCACCAGGCACTTGATGATCCTCTCGCTGTGTCAGGCGCATGAAGAGAAACTGTTGGAATCGCTGATTGACACCTTCAAGAAGAAGTGCATGCGAGAGGTGGGGTTTAACAGATGGGAATGGGGATGGAATGGGGATTGAACTCAGTGGGTTCTGTGATACCCTCATGGGCATGTGGTACCTTCTAGATCCTTCTGGTAATTTCACATACTAGTGGCTATTGGAAAAACCATGAGAACCACCATTTTTCCGAAGTAAATCGTCTATAGATGTGCCATTTTCATCCATGTTCCATAGCATTCCACAGCCATTTTTCCCACCTCGCTTGGGCCAGCTTCCGCAGGCGGAGCTGGAACGCTGTGAAGCGTCCATTAGCTTCGCATCGCTGGCTTGGGGCCTGAGGATGTGGAGTTTACCCACCATATCCCACCATTTTTGGATGATTTTCCTATAGGGAAACCATAGGGTTTCATAGGTAACTTCCAGATCTATGGTAGTTTACCCCAGGGGGAAAAAAGTTTGTAAATAGGGTAAGCCATAAATCGGGACTTACGAACCAGGGTTATTAACCCAGTGAGATAATCCTCCAAGTAGAAATATACCTGTTGATTTGTAATGAGTAGGGTTCTACCGTTGCTTTGCCATCTTAAACACCACCACTTGTACTGTAGAGATTTTCCAATGAGTGGGTTACCCTCTGGTAATTTGATATTGATTGCTTTGGAAGTAATCACTATTTAGATAGCCCATTTAGCTCGATGATTTACCTATTTAACATGGTGATGTTCCATAGCTATGTTAAATTACCAGACGGTACAACATGTTATGTTATACAGATACAGCATGTTTTTGTTGGGCATGATTATTAGGCCATGATAGGAATAGCTATTGATCAATCAATATTTATGGGATGGGACAGTGGTATTTTGATAGGCTCATCTGCCCATCCAAAAACGCGTTAGCGCAAGATGCGCACGGACGCACGCTGAGGTCAGAGAAATCTCAGAGTTTCCGACTCATGCGGCTAGACGGCAATCAAAGTGGAAGGGCTTGCATATAGAACTTGTGTAGTAAGTGTAGTATGCAAATCAATCGCATTCTTCATATGATTTCATATGTATTTTCTTGTTTGGATGGTTTCTTTACAAGTCATTGCACCCATTTGCACCCCAATCCAGGCCCAATCCACATGTCAAGCAGGAAGGCCAACATCAAAAAGCCATGATTCCATGATCAAATCCTCCAGGTGATCGTGGACTCACAGCACCTGGTTGAGAACTGGGGCGATGGAGCTGCTTCGTGGTGGTACTACGTGCCTTGGAGCTGCTTCTTTATACAGCACACTTCAGCACACTCTAGGTGAGCCGCCAAAATCCTCGGATCATTTGAAGGGGCGTTAAAGTAAGATGTTTCCAGGAAAGCCATAACCACAGTCGCGAAAGATTTGCGCAAGCTTTTGCGAAGGTTTGCTCCCGCGAAAGCTCGTGAAAGAGAGTTTCAGGAAACATGATTGATGGGTAAGACACATGAGGGAAATCATTGTGTCATTTGAAGGCTCAAAATTATGGATCTAAGTACCTTCTTAAGAAGCATTTGAGATATGATTTCTGCTGATTACCTTCTAAGGCTGTATTTGGATCCATACGGTCAGATTGTCGTTAAATTTCCAGGATGCGAGCAGAAAATTTGCGAAAGCTTTGCGAAAGCTCCGCCAACGCCCCGACTAGCTCAGATAGACCCTCCTCCATAAAATTGGTCTTCGGAAGGCAGATCGTTCAAGGAGTTTGGCGCAAAGCCAGGCCCAGACCCCAAGCAGCAATCATATAGATCCTTCTCCCTAATAGTTCCCTTCATCTTTTTCTTCCCCCAGAACAGTGATGACAATTTCAATCCACGTGTTACCACAGTTGTAACTCCTGCAAACACATTCCTTCAAAAAAAGCTTGAGACCAACCGTTTCTGTATGTATTTCAATGCAAAAAACACGGGTTTCTTTTCACAAGTTTTCCCGAAAAGCGCGCGAAAGTAAATTTCTGACACATGGATGCCGCCAAAGAAAGGCCCACACAGCGAAAGTTTTGCGAAAAGGATGGCGAAAGAGAAACGCGAATAGAATAAAGACAAACTTATGAAGGTGTTAGAAACGACTCAGGTCATCATATTATTTGATCCTTGGGGCTTTCTTGAGTGGAACTTTCATGATTTCCAAGGCGTGACATGATGGTAACACATGTTGTTGGGATATCTCAGCTTTAGCATGTCTGATGCGGCTTAGCATGTTTCAGAAATATCATGATTATCACGAGAATAGCCACATCTAATCACAACTGTCCGTGTTTACGGGTACTACTTGTGGGTACTTGTCGATATTTATAAATGTTCACATCACAACATATTATATATATATATTTTTTTTCCCCTTATATTCATGTATATATATGTATATACATAGAGACATATACATATGTCTATATACACATATATCTATTTAACTATCTAGCTATCTGCAGTATCATTTTCCAAGTCTAGCACCATGATATCCCCCTCCACCAGGCGCACCGGGGAGTGACCCAAGAGTTCGTCAGCGGCACTCCGGTCTCCTTTGCCGAGCTTCTGGAGTCGTCCCGGCCTAAGAAGGGGCTACCCCCATTTCAGGAAACCTTTACTGTACACTACACAATACATATATATATATGTACGATGGACCTTTATGTACTATTTGAACGTTTGCATGTCGAAAGGATTTTATTGAAATTATACCTCTTTCTGGAGAATCCCTACTAGTTAATCTATATACCAAAAAGAAAGAAATGGAATTCAAAAAATTCAAAAAAAAAATGAATACATATTTTTTTTGAATTTTTTGAATTTTTTGATTTTTTTGAATTTTTTGAATTTTTTGAATTCCATTTCTTTCTTTTTGGGACTTTCATTTTTTTTTTGAATTTTTTGAATTTTTTGAATTCAAAAAATTCAAAAAATTCAAAAAAAAAGTGAATACATAATTTTTTTTGAATTTTTTGAATTTTTTGAATTCAAAAAATTCAAAAAAATAAAAAAAAAAAGGAATACATAATTTTTTTTGAATTTTTTGAATTCAAAAAAATCAAAAAATTCAAAAAAAAAGTGAATACATATTTTTTTTTGAATTTTTTGAAAAATCAAAAAATTCAAAAAAAAAATGAAAGTCCCAAAAAGAAAGAAATGGAATTCAAAAAATTCAAAAAATTCAAAAAAAAAATGAATACATATTTTTTTTTGAATTTTTTGAATTTTTTGAATTCCATTTCTTTCTTTTTGGGACTTTCATTTTTTTTTTGAATTTTTTGAATTTTTTGAATTCAAAAAATTCAAAAAAAAGTGAATACATATTTTTTTTTGAATTTTTTGAATTTTTTGAATTCAAAAAATTCAAAAAAAAATGAATACATATTTTTTTTTGAATTTTTTGAATTTTTTGAATTTTTTGAATTCAAAAAATTCAAAAAAAAAGTGAATACATTTTTTTTTTGATTTTTTTGAATTTTTTGAATTCAAAAAATTCAAAAAATTCAAAAAAAAATGAATACATAAAAAAAGTGAATACATATTTTTTTTTGAATTTTTTGAATTTTTTGAATTCAAAAAATTCAAAAAATTCAAAAAATTCAAAAAATTCAAAAAAAAAAAAAAAAATGAATGTCCCAAACAGAAGAAATGGATTCAAAATTCAAAAAAAAATGATACATACTTTGTTTTTTGATTTTTTTGAATTTTTTGAATTTTTGAATTCCATTTCTTTCTTTGTACTTTCATTTTTTTGTGAATTTTTTTGAATTTTTTGAATTTTTTGAATTCAAAAAATTCAAAAAATTCAAAAAATTGAATTTTTTGAATTCAAAAAATTCAAAAAATTCAAAAAATTCAAACAAAATTTGAATTCAAAAAATTCAAAAAATTCAAAAAAAAAATGAAAGTCGCAAAAAGAAAGAAATGGAATTCAAAAAATTCAAAAAATTCAAAAAAAAATTGAATACATAATTTTTTTTGAATTTTTTGAATTTTTTGAATTCCATTTCTTTCTTTTTGGGACTTTCATTTTTTTTTTGAATTTTTTGAATTTTTTGAATTCAAATTTTTTGAATTTTTTGAATTCAAAAAATTCAAAAAATTCAAAAAAAAAGTGAATACATATTTTTTTTTGAATTTTTTGATTTTTTTGAATTCAAAAAATTCAAAAAATTCAAAAAATTCAAAAAAAAAATGAAAGTCCCAAAAAGAAAGAAATGGAATTCAAAAAATTCAAAAATTTCAAAAAAAAAATGAATACATAATTTTTTTTGATTTTTTTGAATTTTTTGAATTTTTTGAATTCCATTTCTTTCTTTTTGGGACTTTCATTTTTTTTTGAATTTTTTGATTTTTTTGATTTTTTTGAAATTCAAAAAATTCAAAATATTCAAAATATTTTTGTATTGGCTAAATTTTTTGAATATTTTGAATATTTTGAATATTTTGAAATTCAAAAAATTCAAAATATTCAAAATATTTAAAAAATAATGAAATCACCAAAAAAGAGGTTCAGAGAGACTTTTGGGAGAAGTTCATTATATTTTGAATATTTTGATTTTTTTCAATATTTTGAAATTCAAAAAATTCAAAAAATTCAAAATATTCGAAATGTTTTTGTATTGGCTAATTTTTTTGAATATTTTGAATTTTTTGAAATTCAAAAAAAATCAAAATATTCAAAAAAATAATGAAATCCCCAAAAAAGAGGTTCAGAGAGACTTTTGGGAGAAGTTCATTATATTTTGAATATTTTGATTTTTTTGAAATTCAAAAAAGAACACAATTTTCAAAATATTTTCGTTTTTGGCTTTTTTTTTGAATATTTTGTTTGTTTTTTCGAAATTCAAAAAAACAAAAAAACATGAATGCATATTTTTTTGATTTTTTTGAATTTTCTGAATTTAAAAACTTATAAAAAAATTGAAAACATGAATACCCCAAAAGTGAGAAGCTGGGCTCCCAATAGTAATCTATACAGTATATGGAAAAAAACTCAATACTAAACTATTTTTAAAAAAAAATCCGAATACTAAACTATGTATTTGAAAAAAAAACTACTGCTAAACTAAGTCTGGCTCTCTTTCTGGGAATTTCATGTTGTTATTGTTTTTTTTGAATTTTCTGAATTCATTTTTTTTTAAAAATAGGCGTTTCTTTTTAATCCATCATTTTTTCACTTTTTATCTTTTATGTTATTTTTCGGATCCTTACATTATTAATATTTTGTCGTAACACCATCAATTCTTAGATATATATTTCTTTTTTTCCTTAGTTTCTATAATATTTTTTTAATTCCATGCCTTCATCTTTTCAAATTCAAAAAAATCAAAAAATGAAAAAAAAACATGAATACCCCAAAAGTGAGAAGCTTAGCTCCCAATAGTAATCTATATATGCAAAAAACAACTCAATACTAAACTATGCAACTATGCATTTAAAAAAACAATACTAAACTATGTATTCATTTTAAAAAAACTACTGCTAAACTAAGTCTGGCTCTCTTTCTGGGAATTTCATATTTTTTTGTTTTTTTTTTGAATTCAAAAATTTAACAAATTAAAACAAAAAAATGCATACCCCAAAACGAGAAGCTGAGCTCCCAATAGTAATCTATATATGCAAAAAATCTCAATACTAAAAGATGTATTCAAAGCATACTATATAAACTATGTTTTAAAAAACATGCTAAACCATGTGTGTGTGGTTCCCTTTCTGAGAATCTTATTATATACTTTGTTGACCCCAAAAATCATCAATACTAAACTATATATCCACCCAAAAAAGCCACCAATATTAAACTATGTAGCAAAACAAGGAAACAAACTGCAGACAATGAAAGTCCTGTGTCCCAAAAGCACCCAAAAAGAACAACAGTAACGAGGAGAGAAGGGAAGAAGGCACTGGGAAAGACTAGAGGAACAAGTAATGAAAGAAAGGGAAGAGGAGAAAGGCTCTCTTCTCCGTCCCAAAATGCTGGAGACCTAGGAAGAAGCACGGTAGTGGAGAGAGGATAAGGAGACCGCTTGGAGGGAAACATGTAGTAGAGAGAGGGTAAGGGAATGTAACGGATAATAGATTTTGTCCCAAAGCACACAGAGACAAGCAAGGAGACTTATACGAAGGAAGACAAGTAGGGAGAAGCATTCTGCCCAAAGCAGCCTGAGAGAAGAATAGCAATGGGGAGCGAATGAAGGATACAACTTGGAGAGAACAAGGGAGACAAGTATACAACTTGGAGAGAACAAGGAAGACACGTACGGAAACAGACGGCAGACGAGAAGAATCAGGGGTCCCAACAAGCACCTAGAAAGA